GGCATTAGTGCAGCAGCTGTCATTTTATATTTATCAAATATGAAAATTTAATTTTATATTTCATACCTGGATAATTGTATAATTCTTTAGTAATGTTAATTTCTTAATTTAGTCAAAGTTTTTCAAACTAATTTCAATGTAGTCAGTACCATTTGCATAACAATCATACCCATCAATGCCACCGTTTTTTTTTTATTCTCTTTAAGTATAATTTCTAAATTGTTTAAAGCCTCCTTAAAAGTGTTTGCTCTTACAATCAAATATAAGTCAATAGAATCACTTTATGAATACAATCTGCTGTTCTCCTCTTGGTTCCACTTTTTGAAAGCCAGGCTTCATGGTCTGCAGCAGAGATCCAGTAGTAAGTGCTTAAGACTTGCACTGAGCCATAAGCTAGGAGGGAGAAAAAAAAAATCTATATTTTAATAACCATATTTTTTTTTTCTTTGACAAAAAAAAAAAGTCAATATTGCCATTTCAGCATTACAAGATAGTGACTCACTTTTAAAATATCCTGAGTGACACCTTATATCAGGCATCTCTGGTGTGCATGGCTCTGTAGGGAACATCACTCTGACTTTTGGAGTTGCAAGGCACCAATCCTGGTTGAACCCATTTTCATGGATTGGGACAGGTGTCTGCTTCAGGTCTAACACTTCATCTGCCCCCATCTTCATCCCAGAAGCATCATCAGATGCATTTTTCTATTCAGAGTTGAAGGAAGGGCAAACGTCAATTGCATCTCAAAAAAGGAAACTAGACACCAATTCGTTTATAAGGTTTAGCATCAAATCTAGTGTATATTACCATTTTAATGATTAAAAGATATATGATTACTTACAAAAGTAAGAGAACTCCCAAAAAGGGACTGCAGGGTCGGCATCTCAGGTATGGCCTTGTCCTCATAACATAGCACTTTTGGCATCTCTGGAGCATCAAACGAAGGAGCTCTGTTTGTGTTTGAGATCTGGTAGGTGAAAGCTGCCCTCCTGTGATGTCCTGTGTCTATCGCTTTCTTCCTGCCTGTCATCCTTTGAAACAGCAATTGAAGTGAATGAGTGAAACCATTACACTATTTTACTGGTATTATATGTGATTATGATTTAATGTATTGCTAGACAAGTCTCTTGTGGTAGTCTACGTTAGTAAATAAAGCAATATGTAAAGGAGCGCATCACACCTTTTTTATTAGCTTGCTGACAAAAGGTGTTTCAAATGCAGGGAGCTCTTTTGTAGAAGGGCAGTTATTAGGGCGAGGAGGAGAATCAAGATCATTCTTTCCTTTCAGTAGTGGAGAGGATGGGATGCAGTGTTTCTCAATCTTAAATCCTGGGGTGCAAAACACAGGAGGCTCTGGGGATTCCAGACTCTCTGAAATATTTCAACACAAACATGCAAATCAAAAAGGGGAAACTTGAAGAAAATTCGAGTATGCATCTTGCGTTAACACTAATGTAACCGCACATTCAGGATTACAGGAACTAAATGTAATAGTGTCAGAATCAATTATTAAAAACCCCATATGGGTTGATGTTGATGACTATTCTTAATATTAAGAAAACAACAGACGATATTATTTACCATTGGCAAAACCTTTGTTAGGCACAGAAGTCAAAGTGGGGAAAACATGAGAGGGTTTCTGACCATTCTCTGTTCTTTCACTGGTAAAGACACAACACACATATTATGCACTAAATACACATACATTACAGTTCAAAATTTTGATCAATAAGATAAAAAAAAAAAAAAACCCTTCTAATCAGCAAGGATGCATTAAACTGACCAAAAGTGACAGCAAAAAATTATATTACAAAAGTTATTTTGAACTTTCTATTCATCAAAGAGTCCTGAAAAACGATAAGTTTCCACAAAAACATTAAGCTGCACAACTGTTTCCAACACTGATAATAAGAAATGTTTCTTGAGCACCAAATCAGCATATTAGAATAATTTCTGAGGAATCATGTGACACTGGAGACTAGAACAATGCCTGCTGAAAATTCAGCTTTGCCATCACAGGAAAAAAATAATAAATTAAAATAAATTCACTGTTTTCACTGTATCTGATCAAATAAATGCAGCCTTGGTGAGTGCAAAATACTTTTCATGCAGAGATCTGTTAGATTACACACCGAATCAAATGAATGAGTTTCAAATATTATAATTTCACTTTCAAAAATAAGTGCAAAATGTGAGTAGTAAAGTCTCTAATTCCTAAAGATGTAAATTTAACAGTGCCATTTTATGTAAGCAGCATTAAATTGATCTTATTACGCTGAATGCTTGTGATGTGATATTCGCACCCAAATATAGTAGGCAGCATACTTGCTGGTCTTTGGTAGTTTTTTGTTGAACAAATCCATGGTAAAGTTATTGTTCCATTACATAATATACTCAGAGATGCCAAAGTCCTCTAGTCGAGGGGTCAGAGCATCCTCCTCCATACGCAGCGAGCACTTGGGTGTCTTTGGCTGCGTTGGATGCATGTTCATGACAAATGGTGGTGGTGACAGAGCCACAGCTGGGACAGGAGCAGCAATGTGAGGCGGCTCTGCTTCACCAAGCACTCTTTGGAACTGGAGCGCAGACAGACCAAAATCGGAGAGCTTTGGGGTCCGCAGCTGGTCAACAGGTGGTTGCATCTTCTCAGGTGTCTCAGACTGCTGAGCCTCTTCACAAATCCCTTGTCCCATCGCTTCATCTTCCTCTGCTGCATCTCTCTCTGCTTGCTCTTCATCCTCTTTTCTACCGTTCATCTCTAGAATAGTGAGTGAATTAAAAAAACATTTCCATTGAAATAAACATGAATCGTAGCAAAGCCTAAACTTGAAACAAACAAAAATTCTATTTTAATCATCAGTTACAGGTAATATATCAAGCCAAGCAGAGGCAGCACCAGGATATTAACATTCTCAGATGTAATAAACATTTACCTGTATTTCCCTGTCTTGCATTTCGTGATCTGTAACCATACTTCTCATAGTGTTTCTTCAGTCTGTCAATGTCTTCTGTGGTTCTCTGCTTCAGCACCAAGCATCTTCTTATGAAGTTCCTCAGCTCAGTACTTGTTGCATCATGTGTCGCCACCTGATCTTGAACTTGCCACTGCACGTGATTTTGTGTGAAATGTAGGCCATATTTAAAAATAAAGTGAAATCATGAACCATAAGTAAACATGCACATACCTTCAGTGCTCTGACTTCAGAGTGCAGCTGGTACAGAGCTTGAGCCCCATTCTCTTCATCCTCTGAATAACACACACACACCAATCAGCAGATGCATAATTATGACCTGATAATTTTATTAGTAACTATAAAACATTTTCTGGCAACTTACCATCGTCGTCTTGGGGGTTTTGACTTGCATGCAGGAGATTGTTGCTTTCAGTCTCCAGACAAACAGTCAGTTTCCGCAGCTTTGCAAAGAAACGCTCGGAAGGATTCATTCTCAATGTCCCTCCGGTTTTACAGGCTGACATGACAGTAAGTAATTAGTAATAATAAGAATCTCTAATATTTGATTAATTATATTATTACATATAATATTAACATAATGATATACAAGCATAATACTGGTAATCCTTCTTTTCTACCATCACAAACAATCAGCTGTAACTGTTTTGGACTGTCCAGCTAATATGGAAAGTGTACAATAACAATAACACACAAAAAAACAATGAAGATACTGTCTTGAGCACATTCAGGTCAGCATAAAATCGCATAATACCTTAACAAAGATACTGTGGTTTTATAAATTTGATTCAGGCTCTTTCAACTCTTCTTTGAAATTTCGCGGCACATCCGGGTTAGTTTTGTCTGACTCGTTAGACTTGACGCACATCCAAACACCGTAAGGCTCATTACTGCCACCTAGTCGTTCTATGCAGTCAGTTGGTCCTTCTTGGCCTTCTTGTCCTTCTTCTTCTTCTTCTTTGGAATTTTTTGGCGTATTCCGCACCATAGGCACATACCGCCACCAACTGTTTCTAATCATACATGGATGATAGTCCCGCCTCTATTCACGTCAGTTGGTCCTCCGTGGATTTCCAGTTCTTGAATGTAACAATTTTAGGTGTAAATCGAAGCAGTTTAACATTTATGTCCAGCAAGTTTCCGAAAAAGGAAGTGGTTTCAGCATATTTGTTTTTTTTTTGCCGTTGTGATTAACAGATCTCTGTGTTTAGTGACAATGTCCACTCTCAGATCTTTATGTCTAAAAACATAATCGAAAATATTACCCAAATACAAAAAATGAATGCATATAGTTTTCTTTGAGTAATTGTTTAATTACAATAATTGATTTTTGTGTACTTATACATTATTGTGTGACCAATGACCTACTCCTCAGTTCACATTGGAAGAACAAAGCACAATTCAATTTATCCTAGACTTCAAGGAGCTTCAGACAGGCTACTGCCCCTACATTAGCACAATAGTCGTGACAGGATAACTCCTCAGTGTTCTGTATGCTTCGTTTAGTTTCTGGACACTTCATTCCTCAGTGGTACAGATTTCTTTTAATTTACGTTTCCCATTCATTCTGATTATATTAACTAAATGAACCGAATGTTTCCATCCATTTAAAAAAGTAAAAAAAAAAAAGAAGATAAACAGAGTTCAAATTAAAGGACTGAACATTAAAAACTCAAGGAACTGAATCATGTTTTAAAAAATATATGAAAGTGAATACATATATGTGACTAATGAAACTTTCTTTTTGAAGACCTACAGAGAATGTGAATTAACTCTTTTCTGAATGTGTATTAACTCATGGACAGCTGAGGTGAAACACTGCTATCAAACTCCTATCACTGTTGATTTATAGGCCTTATATGGTCACATATTACCCTTGAAAATAAAGAAGAACAGTGGATCTTTTTTGTTTTGAGAGAAGAAAAAACATAACGGAATCTTCACAAATTGTTTTCAGAAGAAAAAACAAGAACAAACTTCCCTGTTTATTCAGGAATATTTTATTAACATCTTTTTCAAATATGACTTTTATAAACATTTGACTTTTTTAAACAGAGCAACAATTTTACATTCTTTGGATCATTTTATGAAACTGCAAATTTGACCTTTTCCCCCCCAAAATAAAAAAATTAAATGTAAAGTATGGTGGGTTTTTTTCTAGGCCCAGACAGAATTTGCACATCCGCTGTGCTGATTTTTGGGAATGATCTACTGACTTTTGTGACATATTTGACGTAAAAATTAGCTCAGTGTACTACATTAGTAGTTGAAAAAAAGAACAAATTAGCCAAAATATTACATTTATTTTCTGTTTTTAATCAAGGCTTCTCTGATAGAACCTACTGACCTACTGTATGTATAACGAGGACCTGGTCAGATGCCCTCTAGTCTACAGGAAAATGAAGGCCACCAGTGGGTGCTGTTCTGGATTCTTCAGGGGAAGTTGTAAAGAGGCAGATCCTGGGGGTGCAGACAAGCAGAAACCTACTCGAGGACCAAGCGGCAGAGATCCTAAAAACATTACATTGTGACTGGTTATGCTGAGCTGTGAGCTGTGCATCCTCTTGTGGGCATTTGGAAAGTAGTACAGCAGCAGAGGCCAGGAGGGGGCAGAGGCGGAGCTCGAGAAGGTGGCCTACAAACAGTCTAAAATCAGCCTATCAGTATTCTCAGAGGAATCCCATTCCAATGTGGTTGCCACGTCACACTTTGTTTGCTTTACAAAGTTCATTTTCTGACAAGAGGATACTTAAGGCCACATCCACCAGCTGGAACAGAATATTACAAAACCACTTCAGAAATCTATGCCAATAAAGAGGAAGATCCAAGTAAAGCAAAGCTGGCAAAGTGCATGCTGAGGAAACTGCAGGAGAGGCTTGATGCAGGTGTAGCCATCTACCAATCAAAATAGAGATCAAAATGCTTTAAGCTCTTGCATGCTTAATTGTCCTTATTTGGGTAGAAGTGTGTTGTATTTTTAAAAAAGATTTACCTAACATAACTTTAGAGTGTATGTAATATACACTACCATTCAAAAGTTTGGGGTCAGTATTTAAAAAAAAAAAAAAAGTATACTTTAATCATTCAAAAATGGTAGTAAAGACGTTTAGAATTTAACAAATCATCTCTGTTTCAAATAAATGCTGTTCTTTCGAACTTTCTGTCCATCAAAGAATCCTGAAAAATATATGCTTCCACTAAAACTGTTTAATCAACTAAAAGTTGTGCTCTAAATTGTGTCATTGATAGAACTAAAACTTACTTTCTCAACATAACAAAATGTCTTTATCCAGTTGAAATGTCTCCAGGTCCTTCCTGATGTCTGGATAGTCCTTCAGAACAGAATGAAAGGAGTCCACCGACAAGGAAAAAAGCTGACAGATAGTCAGAGTTTGTACTGTGGCCAAATGCCTTCCTCTTGTTAGGAGACATGACTCTGGAAAATATAAGGAGAGACATTATTTGAAGGGATAGTTCACCCAAAAATTAAAATGCTGTCTTCCTTTTTTTTCCTCCATACTATGGAAGTCAATGGCTACCATCAACAGAGTCTCGACACGTTACCCACATTCTTCAAAATATTTTCTTTTGTGTTCAACAGAAGAAAGAAACTCAAACAGCTTTGGAACAACTTGAGGGTGAGTAAACGATTGCAGAATTTTTAGGTGAACTATTCCTTTAACACAGCTTACTAATAAATTGTTTCAAGACATGAGTATTACAAACAACACATAGTCTATACAGACATTGCATTGACAAAGCAACGTTACTCGAGTCAAACCTCCAAAGTAGTGTCCATCACACAGTTCCCTCTGGAGAAACTCATTCTCCACAAGGACCTGCCCATGCTCGATGAAGAACATGCGGTCACCAGGAGCGTTCTGGCGGATGATGATGTCACCCTCCTGGTAGACCTCATACTGCAGCTCCAGAAGAATGGCATTGACGAAATTTATATCGCAGTTCCGGAAAAAGGGAGCTTTTCTCACATGGGCCGAGCACATGGTCATCAGAATTTCCTAACAAATCCATTCGAACAATCATTAAACTATAAAAACACTGCTTTACTTTTAAAAACATGAGCAAAACATCTTTTAAATAATCACTTCTGTGACTATCTAGCAATTCCAAAAGTGAGCAGTACCTCTCTGAGAGATGAAGACACCCACTTCAGGACATCTTTCTCATCATACCATTTCCCTGCATAACGAGCCTGAAAGTAGTTGCTGATGTGCATACGAAGGGCTTTGGGAAGCTTCATGAAAGTCATATAATCTTCCAGATGATTCATCTATGTAAAAACAAGCACAAAAGAGAACAGAAAACAGAAAATGTGAATGACATCCCCAATAACCATCTAATATGTTGTTTTAGCAGTATATTTGTTTTCCTTGCACCTTGTTATTGTACGCTCTTGCTGTTATGTCCACATCAGTCATCATTGCAGCAGTGTTGGCGACCATCACCGTGTACATGATGGCTCCAGACACAATGCTAGTCATGACTATCCACAGCTCAACCTCATCTAAAAAAACAAACAAAAAAAACAAAACCCATTAGGTATTAAAATAAGTATCAGTTGTGCATTGTGATTGTTGTGGCATAAAATTAACATTTTGCTAAATCAGCTGATCAAAAGTATACTCCTTGCTTGTGGGTGTTTCAGAGGAACCGTATGATATTGCAGTCATATGAGAGAGGGCCCGAAAGACTCCAAAAGAGTACTTCTCTCCCACTGTGGCATTCTGACAGATTACACAACACAAAGTGTTGACATTAATACTTTATTTTTATACATTAAAACCATAAAACAACTCTAAAATAAATTACACACTCTCTGTAATACACTCTCAGAAAAAAAAGGTACAAAAGTTGTCAACAGGGTGCTAACGTTTGAAAAGGTATACTTTTGTATTTTACTTACCCCTAAAGCGTGCATATTGGTACCTTAAAGATACATATTAGTTCCTAAAGTGTACATATTAGTACCTATTTGGTACATTTTAGTACATTTTGAAAGGGTACCACACCAGTGACTGCTTTTGTACCTTTTATTCTGATTCTAATCTGGTTAATCGCACTATCACAGAGCAAACTGGCTCAGTTAATAATAATAGCAGTGAAAATGACCTCAGAGGACTTCAGTATTATTATTGCTGTAATACTGTTACAGTGTTCATAGAATAATATACAAGATGTCGGACTAGATCATATCTAGATATATTAAAGATATATTAAAATGTTAATGATTGTATAAAATATTATTAATTTCCATGATATTTCCAGCCAGGCCTTGCAAGTACAGTTTTCAAATTCAGTGATATTTCCATAAATGTGGGAATGCTGTTTATGTGAATATGCTGCTCAGACACTTACCATTAGATTCTCTCTTCTAACCCAGCAGTCTGAGGGAAACTCCTCAAGCATAGGCACAAAATACTGAATACAGCCATTCCAGTGGCACAGCAGGAAAATCATCATAAATAATGACAAGATTCTTAGGAACACCCTCACCACCTCCAAGTTGGCATTTGAAACCTATATGAGCAGAGATTCAATACAAAAATCAAAAGCATTATTCAAATAAATAAAAACATTGTTGTCTCATGAAGATAAGGTCAGTTTCACATGTTCAAGCAATTAATTACTTACTCTCTCCACTTCATTGAAAAACCTAACAAGCCTTGACACACGCAGCAGGCGGACAAGACTGAGGATTCTCACAAACATCAAGATGCGCATCATTTTGCTGGCTTTGGATGAGGGAGAGTCACTGTGGTATTGTAGGTCCTGTCATGACAAGGGCACAAAACATGTTTTCCCTTTGGAGCTATGCAATTTCAATACAGCCAAAAGATTTTTGCAGAAAAAGGCACATTACCGCAATAAGTAGTATGTAACCAACTGGGAATGCTGCCACCACATCAGGTATAAACCAGCTTTTTAAATATTGTTGTCTAATGCTTTTCAAATCCAGAATGGCTCCCTGTTTAACATACAGAAAGATTATTGGAGAAGTTTAAGCAATTTGATATTTGGGTAACACTTTAGAATAACGGTCCGTTGTTAACAAGTAACTATGCAGGAAGTAATATTACTTGTTAACAACGGACCATTATTCTAAAGTGTTACCGATATTTGTAATGTCTAGGGCTAATCCTTACCTCACTGTCCTCATTAATGATCCCCATGCGAAAGTTAAGCCCCACGTCAATCAGGAACAGAGTGTCCGAGAACACGTTAAAACCCTCCCAACCTACTCCACTGTTCCCATCAAGAAAGGCAATCTCCATTGGAATGCCAATTAGATTCAGAAATGTTATGGCCACCATACACATGATGTAATAGCTCCTGCAAAAATAAGGACAAGAGTTGCAAGATGGCATTTTTGCATGACTCATTTCAAAACTCATTAGTATTTTTTCTATTTTATTTTATAACATATTTATAACATATTTATAACATAACATACATTTTTATTTATTTTTTATTGTATTTATTATTTTAATTAAAAAGGTATTAAATAAAGTAAAATGAAAAAGATAAAACACTACTAAATAAAAACACCAGGACAGGTAAAATGTACAGTACCTTAAACGACTGAAGGGATGGATGACGAACACGCCTTCCTCTTTCTGTCTAATGCACTCCTTCTCCACAGCTACCTCACTGCCGTAGACATACAGCGAGCGTCTGTTCAGCTGCGGCAGCAGTAGGTTTTTCCACCCGCTCCAACAGAAGCGCATGTGATTCTCAGCTGCGAGACGCTGCATTTCCAGGCCCTGACTAAGCACTGTTATCACCGAAACACCTCTAACATCTCTCACCGTGCCTCTCTGACAACTTTATTTCTGGACTTTCTTTTATGCTGACCATTTCATCCACTTTTCTTCATCGTCTTCACGCTCACTCTCTTGCTTTCTCTCTCTCATGCGCGCACATGCACACGCTCAGGGTAATTTTCCATCACAGTTCTCTGGCTCGTTCCAGAATGGGGAAGGAGATAAGTTCCAGAATTTCCATTCTTCCCCCTCTGTCAAACTAACTTGTCTCATCAACTATTCAGTATCTCTGCCTCGCGCTCACATCAGCTCAGCTCATCTGGACTGCGGGGCGGTTCTTTAACTCAAGGTGGTTTTGAATATCACAACTATTGTTATCTGAACTAGACAGATGGTTCTGATAGAACCGGACCCAAGGCTGACAAAGGGAGGTGATAGAATTACTTACGCTCTTATTGTGCGTAAATGACTGTACTGATATGGCAGAGATCGTTTCTAATGAACACACAAGAGTGCACAGATAATTTTGCTATTTCAGAAAGAGACAGAATACATGTATCTATTTTTGCAGGCCTTTCTGATTTTGGAGAAATCAGAGTTTAACTTCGATTTCTTAGGTACGGCTGTGAAACTGGTCTGTGTTTTCGTTGTGGATGTGTTTACATCAAAAACAGACACCTACAGCTTACCACATCACAACGGTGGAGCTCACTAGATCTCCTGTAAACTGAATACAGTATTGTGTTGCATTGGCAGCCTATGTTTTTGAGAGTCACTACCGTGTTGAATTTCAAAGTGGTATTCAAGTAATGTAACGGGTCACTGATCATTCTCAGAAGGCAACAAACACCTAAACTGCATTCATTCATTGTAATCATATCACATTGCATTCAGTTATCAAGTGGGTGACTGAATTCATTAAAACATGACTAGTCACGGGTTTTATTAACAAGCTTGTCTGTGAAGCTTCTGTCTAGTTAAAATACTAAATGATGCTTCCATGCAACAATTTAATCTGTGAAACTTTAAAATTAAAAACAAGAATGTTATATTAATAATAAAAAGGTACAGTTATAAGTATTATTATATTAATAACCAATTGCCAATATACTTAAAACTCATAACATTATATATATATATATATATATATATATATGTGTGTGTG